GGGGGGGGGGGGGGGGCGGTATGTTCTAATTTACTACGATTTTACCGTAGGAATTCCGTATTCCATAGAGAATTTAAAAGTTAGTAAAAGAAAAACTTTTGGTCTGTACGTCCGATATAATGGCAGGATCAGAATTTATATCTCTTGGCGCATTCACGTGCATTTATCCTCAAATTTTAATTTGACCCATTGGCCCACTTCGTGATAAAAAATAGCGACTAACTTAGTTAAATCGCTAAATCGAACATATTGACTTACGAAATTGAAATTAAATATTTCTCCTTCTTGATATTCGTGATATTTGTATTTATTGTTAGAATGAACGCTACAAATCGTTGCCTGCTCGAAAACGTGTGCAAGATTAGTACATACTGAGATATTTTTGTAATATGTAATATCAGCGATGCGATGTAATCGTTCTAGCAATTCTTTTTTTATTTGTTTTGTTTCAGAAATCCACATTTTTTTATGACAAATGCAAAATGATTCCGAGATAAAAATAATAGAAACAATTTATTTTTATGTTATTCTTTAGGCAAAATTTAAAGTCAGGAAACTTTCTTATGGAGGGAAATTAATATATGTGTAGACCGGAAATGATTGCCCGTACTTTACTGTTAGAAACGGCCAAATTCGCGAAAACGATTTTGTTAAAGGAAATTAGCGTGCCGCCGAGAGAAATTATGGCTCGGTAGTGTCGGAATCTGACATTCCGATTCGATGTCCGATACGAAAGTAACTTTGTCAACCACATGCGGTTACTGAAGTTGAAAACTCGTGTCATTCGATTAAGTGGGAATTTCTAACGTAAGGCGCTGTTATAATTTAGAGAGAATCAAATGACTTAATTAGATACATAAATAGATACGCATATTTATAACGTGATTATCAAACATTATCGCGTGATATTTTGATACGCCCGCTAAGAATAAACCAAGTTTGCATTCATATTTTTTATATAAATATCAATATAAATCGGAACGCATGTAATTTAATTTACTTACACTATAGAAGAAAAAATTAAATTATATACTAAAATATATATTTAAAGAAAATACAATCAAAAGAGAAAAAGAGAGAAAAAGAAAGAAAGAGAGATATAAGAAAATGAAGATTAATATAAAATTGACGATATAAATCTATTGTGACAAGGATCTTCGCAATTCCATCTTTTGTTTTTAAGATGCAAACAGCCGATGAGGTTTTATGAACATTATCGTCCTATTTTGCATTGTTTTAAATTTAAATAGATACGAAAAGAATAAAACATACCTATCAGTGCAATCTCTTGGGAGATCTGAGTGAGTCGCGTGTTACAATGAAACTATCAGATCTTTTCTATCTTAAGAACAGTCTTAAATATGTTTTATCTCGATAAATATGACATTTATATATATACTCTGTAAGATTGATCCCAACTATCAAAGTGGAAAATTTTAGAATATATAACAGAGAAACAAAAAGAAATAATATAGAAAAAACTATTTTAATGTCAAAAATAAAATTAACTTTGTTTTTATCATATTCTAATTATTTATCTTATATATATAAAAGAGAGAAAAAGCTTTTTCTCATCATATATTTCTTTCAAAACATTTTTTTTTAAATGACGAGATAAATTCTCGATATAGCGGAATCAAAATGTATAGAGGGAAAAAGAGAAGTGTATTTTAGAAATATTTATTTTATTTCCTAAAATCTGTTACGTGTTTGGAAATATTCTAATTTACATGGTCACATTTTTCACGTTTCCGAAGTATGACTGTACGAACACACTCGTAATACAAAAATAGGTTTTTTTTTTTTAAATCCGAAACGCGTGTTTACCCTATCGACAAAGATTCATCGATATCGAGACCGTGGTGTACCAGCCAAAATTCCTAAAACATACGGTAGTAACAGGATGGTTGACGTTCATGTTCGCGCGCATTGTGTACATCGTGATTCATGCTTGGATTTCCAGTAATTAATGCGGCGCTCGTTGTTGCAAAAGCACCACGTCGGGATGCATAAGCTGCGTGTCAGCGCTGCACAAAGTTCGAAATTATACAGCATTTTTCAACTCTATCCCAAATTAATCGAAAACTTTGTCATTTTTAATCTTGTAAGATACAATAAAAGCGAAAAGATATATAAAAGATAAACAGATACAATCAATGCTCTTTAGAATATCATTTTAACATAGCATATTCTAAACAATGGCCAAGCTGCTCTTTTGACAGATTTGAAAAGTATTTGTGTATGAGCTTCGGAAATTGCACAAACGAAATAAAGAGAGTTATAGACGAAATAAAGATAGTTAAACTTCTGAACAGTCTTCTTTCAGAAGATATTTTAAAATTAAAATATTTTATAATCAAGCCATTTTTTAACTATTTTATATTTTTTTACTTTTTGAGGTATCTAAATGAAATACAATAGTATACAACTAAATACAATCAAAGTATTGCAGAAGGAAATAATTACTTTAGTGGAAATTTTTATTTTCTCCGGAATCATACACTCCAGGTTCATACACACATCGGTGCCAGTGTCTCTTTCGAGAGAATTAAAAAATGGATTCTTCTTTTTCCCATAGATAATTTCCTTAGAGAATAGAATGTTGAGAACCTTTTAACGTAAACTAATTTTAAAAAAGAAAAGAATAAAAAATGAAATCTCTAAAAATCTTTATTGAACACACAAGTTATTTCTTGATATTATATTTCTTCTGTCAATTATATCGAGAGACGGATTGGATTTTCGATTATTTAAAAAATTTGTTCCTTTATCGAAGAGAAAGAAAACTAATGGTATTGTATATTAAAGTAGAAAAATATCGCATTCTTTCACATAATATAATAAATTTATTTTAACTTTTGCGAAGAATTTGAATTCCTAAAGAAATTAAAGATTAATAAGATCATCGAAAATTGTGTAACTTCATACGAATAGGAGCGAATCAGATATTAAGCCATGGAATATTTTTGTCAGAAAACTGTATTAAAAAATATGATAGAATTGTGGCGTTTACAAAGCTACAAACTAGCAACAGGGAGTTTGTATTTGTCGATGGTTTAGGATTGAATAAGCGATACGCTATCATTACTCGTTATATACACGAAGAAATTATGTATATCATCATGACATACTCCGATATTGCAAAACAATCAGCGACAGTCACAGAAACGTAAAATTAAAAATTGGCTTGTAGATTTTTGAAAACTACAAAAAGCTTGATGGAAGAGAATTGGTAAATCTATCGATTTTACGATCATTTTACGTAATCGGATAGAAACATCTTGGAAGAATATAATTCATCGAACGATTTCTGAGAAGCGATATTGGGACTAAGTTTTAAAGAGTAATCCTCTTGACTTTTCTTACGGCAAAGAGAGCGTCTTCTAATCAGCAGCCGCGCGGAATCTGCTGCTTGAGTTTTCTCACGAGTAATTACAACTAAAGATCAACGAAGTTCATTAATTATGAAATAGATTTACAGATTTATAAAATAACGGATAAATATTAAGATTGCTTAAATGCACGACTTTAATAAAATCATATTTATTTTCTTTTTATAAAAAAATAAAGAATAAGATTTCTTCAAGTATTATCTGTAATTTAACGCAAATTTTCATTATTCGATAATAAAGAGATATCAATTTATGCTACAAATATTTACATTGTCGGGGGATAAATAGAAATTGTTTTTATTCACAAAGAAATAAATGTAAGTTTTTTATATTCATAAAAAATCTCAAATTATCTCGTTGACAAATTTATTACCGGGACAGACTTATTGGAAAAAATAACACAGATGTTTATAAAAAATTGTGAGAAATCTTCAAACTACTTACGATTTATAGAAGACGACATTCTAAATCATTCACAATATTCATCGAATCCTTAACATCTATGCAGACCAATACTTGCTTGCGAGTATTTATTCCATTGAAGCAGTTTAGCCTGTGTTTATTCGAAAGTCACATTCTCAAGCTTTCAAAGAGAACCACCACTGCGATTTCGACTTCGCGTCAATCCTCGATAAGTATATTTCCATCCCGTCAAAGTCCAAGGATTTTGCAAAATCTTATTGGGCTTCTTACCTCAACAAAAGGGAACACGAGCAGGCAGCCTCGAAAGATAGGGAAACGGTAGCTGAACGATCCTGCTGGCTGCCTCGAGGGAAGCTCGCCCGGGCGGCATGGCTCCCACCTCTTCACCTCGATCCTCCTGGCCGCTGTTGCCCGGTGAAGGATGTCCTCCGTTCGTTACTAATTCCGAGCAACTTGTATCGTTCCACTATCACCCCCGTAGTGTACACCTTATGCGATACACTTCTTTGTAGCCGCGCACCCCGCGTACCGTTCGTAACGCGAATAATTTTACTAGCACTCTTCCGCGCCAGGAAGTCAAGCGGCGTCTTTCGAGAAGACGACTTCACCGGATGTCGCACCACGTCGCGACGCGCCGGCTCTCATCGGATACGCGGACGCCGTTCGTCCGCGATTCGTTCGATCCTCGACTCGACGAGAAGAGAAGACCGAGAAAGGGGAAGAAAGAGAGAGATAGAGATAATAGAGAAAGAAAGAGGGATGGAAAAAGAGAGAGATGCCCGATAGGACACGGTAGATACCACGGATAAGAAGGGCCTCGTGATCGCGCGGAAGAGATGTAACGTTAGATGATGACGGCGACGATGACGACGACGACGATATATCGTGCAGAGTCCGTATGACTGTCGACAGGATCAGAAACAGGGAGAGGAGAGCACGGAGACCTGGGCACAGGCAGGACACGATGGCCCGGCCACTGCGCCGACACTGAGGCTACGCCGCAGCCTCGGCCTCCTGGTACTCCCTCTTCCTCGCTCTCTCGTTCGGTCTCGTTCTTGCTCCAATCGTCTCTCTCTAGCTTCCCGTCTCTCTGTAACGCTCTTTCCCCCCCGCCGCGAACAGCCCTCCCCTCCCCTCCCCTCCCCTCCCTGCGCTGTTGCTCGCGCGCTCTTTCTTTCGCAATCGCGCGTACGCGTGCCATAGTGGGTAATTTTGGAGAACCCTTTCGGTCTTTTGTTTCAGGTTCTTTTTCTCCTTCCTTATAACACGTGTACATCCTTCGTTTTGGAATTTACTTGTATGCCCTATGATAGTTTTTGAAAATATCTTTTTTTTTTTTTTTTTTTTTTTTGCGTTATGTGTGTGTCGCCGTTTTTTCTCTTCCGCTACTGAATTCTTCTTTTTCTATATCACACGACTTCTCCCTCCATTAACCATATTTCTAATTTTCTCGTCTTTCTCTCATTCTCTCATCCCCCTTTCCATCCCTTCTCCCTTCCTCTTCTTCTCCCTCTCTCTCTCTCTCCCTTGCTTTCTCTCCCTCTCTCTTTTCTACACTCAATTCCCCCTCTTCTTCAATTCCTGTTCCTCTTCTGTCGTCTGCCGAAAACTGTGTCTCGTATCTTCCGCCCCACCGTTTTCGCGTCTACTATCTCTTTCTTCTTCGCTCTTGTGCTTCTACCGATTCTTCCTCTCCTTTTCTCTCAATTGATATCTACATCGCTTTTCAACCACTGTGGTTCCCTTTCTCTTCCTCTTCCTCTTTCTCTTTCTCGCTCGTATCGTTCATCCCCTTTCGTTGGACCTCTTGAATATTGCTATCACATACATTCTTTCTTCCGTAACTTTTCCATTTCTCTCTTTTTCACTCTTCATCTTTGTCCGTTTTTCGTACATCCTTCTTCAACTTGGATATCCCTTTATTCCTTCCTTTGCACTTTCCGTCCTTTCCTTTCACCTTCCATCGACTGCCACTAGCTATATACGATTCCACCTCTCTCCCTTTCAGGATCTTCCATCCCTCTTCCATCCGTGTCCCCACATTCTGAGTTTCATCCCTTTCGTTCATCCAGCGCACTCCCCTCCGTTCTTGCACTAGCGCGGCGGTCTCGCGTTCTTCACATCTGTCGCGTTCCACCACGAAAGTCAACCCTGTATCGTTATAGGGTGCATCTTTTCTTTATTCTATCGGAAAAGCTTACGAGACATTCCTCAATCAAACGAGATAAAAACACTTGAACATTTATACGTTCTGAAAATAATATCTTATTCACGGACGAGATAATATATAGATAATTTATAATAAGATAAAACAAAAGCATGTATAGGAAATGATAATATATAGGACCCTGTATTTTAAAAAGAAAATAATAGATTATTAAATATTATATAATAATATTGTAATAATATCACAGAAATACTATTATATGTAAGGTAATTTTATTGAAGAATTACGCTGTAATTAGAATTGATGCGGAAAATTCCCGTATTATGCAAAAGCGCCGGCAGTAATGTCAGAGAGCATATTTTCACGCGGATTTTAACGAATTAATTAAACGTGGCCTACTGAACCAAACGCGGAAATAATATCGTCCGGTTTTTCACCTAACCGCGAATTGCGACGGAATTGCGCTTCTTTGAAAATTGAAAAGCTTTAAGATGCACGTCGACAAATACTCTATTGTTTTTCATGCAGTCGCACCATCTTTTAGCATAAAATATATCATGATCCTCAATCACATCGCACGCCGCTATTTATCCGCTTATCCTTTTCCTTCCTTCTTTCCTTGCTCATTATATTTATTCCTTTCCTTCACCTCACTATCGAATGTTTTCAGTTATGCATATAAGTAGCTACATTTAGTAGTTAAAATTAAATATGAGATTTTTGATTCTGAGATTTATTTGATAACAGGTGTAATAGAAAATCTGATAATGAAAGTGCAAAAAGCGATAAAATGAGTAAAGAGAAGTAAAATTGCAGGAAGTTATGATTTTAATCGATCATTAACTCCACTTTTAATTTTACAAATAATATAAATATATACTCATCGCTTCTTTTGTTGAGTGATCTCACAATTTTATTTATCCTGATTGTGAGTGATCCGATCTAGACAGCATTTTTATTTCAGACGAACGACTATATCGACTTTTACGAGATTTATCTTATCCATCTTTTAGCTCAGAGATCTGCGCGCGGTTTTCTGTTTTCTTCTCTTTCCTATCCATCCTATTTCTTTCTTGTATTTTCCGCTTACCTCAAGCAATGCTGTGCTGAAGTAAAGGTTTACGGATAAAGGAAACGAAATTGAGTTCTCCATGCTTATTTAACTGCAGAATGGATGGAATTTTTGTAATAGAGTTTGCATTATATGCTTTTTAATATATTTGATTTTAACAAATTAGTAGAAGTTGACAAACATTCTTGATGAGAGGCTCATATTCGGAAACATCGCGTTTCATCGTAATATTGTTTTACTCTATATAAAAAGATAAGTTATTGTTTAAAGACTCACGTTTGCAAAGATGTAAGGAACGAGATTCGAATACCGTATAACGCCGCGGCATTACAAAATATCGCGCGTGATCTCGTCGTCGTTCGTCTTGTTGTTTTACGCACCTCCCCAAGGGTGCGCGATGGGCTCATATAAACGTCGTCTCGGTTCATTCCGTAAATTCACAAACTGGCGAAGATAAATTCGACACAGGATGCACGCCATAAGTCGTGCGTACCGGTAATGCCATAGTAACGACGAGCCATGAAATTTTTGCGCGCTTTTAAAGAATTTAAATAATCTTGTAGCACGGAATTTCTCGTCGACATCTTTTTCGGATACCATCGACGAACGTTAGTAATCTTGCCTCAATATACAAAACATCCGTGAAAGTCTCGGCAACACGCGAAAACGTTATTACGCTATAATAGGGATGACGAAAATAGTAGAGTGCATATTTCGGACGTATCCTTGCTAGTAGCACAGAAGGCAAGATATCGCGTATTATCACGCGGTACCATCCAAGAACGTGTCGAGGCCGACGTAGTTTACAGTACCGGGACCTCCCTTCATAGTCACGCAAAATGAAAAGCTACCGCAGTCTAACCTTATTCAAGGAATATCGATTGATGGAACAAGAAACGTTGCATGCGCGTCCTTGACTCCGGAAACCTTTCCGTTTCAAGGGCCAGGGTCGGCAGGTAAGAGATTAATCGTTCAGGAAACTTTTCGCGCGCGGTCATGAAGACCTTCATTGTTTCTTGCAAGACACCCACTTGATCGTCAAATAAGTTACACGAGAAGCTCCTCCAGTTTTTCTTTTAAAAGAGTCATTAATGCACTTAATAACGACGCGAGATATAGCAAGATGATAGAATTTGATGATAGAATTTGTTTAGATAAATCAAACTAAAAGAGATATTACGCTAGTACTCTGGAAAATAATAAAATGAAATGCGAGAATATAAATGTTTTTACACATTCCTTTTTTTTTTTTTTTTTATTACAATTATTTGTTATTGTACATATACATACGCACACGCGCGCGCATATATTTGTATGTCTCTGCTCTAAAGATCCGCTTTAAAAAAAGAAACGATAATTTATTTCAACAAAATAAAAGTTTACCGTTTTCATCTCGAATCTATATATTTTGCCGCAATCACAGAAATGATATCGTAGCACGCTCTTGATAACGTAGCCGTCCTGTAAAGATGGGGTGATCTCATCCTACACGATAAATTCGAGAATGGCATCGAGCACACAAAGGACAATAACGAGCTTTCGAGAGGTCACACTGGCGGAAATTCGTCTCACGGGTTCGATCGAAATGCAGTTTCGATCTGCGGCAAATTCGAAGTAGATCCGGAACGGATGCGCGTCGGTGAGAGAAATTTACCCCGGTGACATTTCAAGCGATGGCTGTAGGTCGATTATGCAACAATCATCGCGGTGGGAATTTCTGTATAAAATTTAAATTGTCTCGGGAATAATAGACATTTTGGGAGACACGTGCGACTACGACGAAAATGAAATATATTGATGTTGCGATAAATTAAATTACCATACTATACTTTGATCTCCTTTATATGCAAATGTAAAAAAGATATGAAATCAGACAAATAATTAACAAGAGAACAGATGTTATTATCGATAACTAGTATGAAATATGAAAAACCACTTAATACTATGGTAAATCTTTTAATTAAATAATAATTAACGTATATAAGTATAAAAATTTAAACTTAATTTAAAATTTAAAATATATTTTACATCTCTTCTTCTCTTTGTTATATAATTATATTTTTATTTTTTAATTTCAATAAATAGTTTTTATTGTTTGACGATGAGTGTAAGTTTCTAATAACGAGAATTTATATATTTATACCAAAGCAACTTTAGTCAGAATGGTTATATTGTTAAACGAAAAACAAACTGTACGTTATGTTTCATTTTCCGGGCGGCTTTGATACTTCCGTTTAACAATTGACTCTTTTCACAAAACCCATTGGCACGCGTTACAGATAGGTAGAAATGGATTTTCTACCTTCTCCCCTCTTATTCTCGCTAGTCAATCACATTTTTATTCAAAGGCGCGTTAACGTAACGTTTTCATAGTAACAAGAATCTTCAATAGCGAAACGCGAAGATGTCATAGACATTCGATCGTTTACCATTTAAATCTGCATGGTTTTTTTAATTGTTTTTTCATGGTTTTTCTATGAATAACATTCGAACGATAGATCACGAGATTGCACCAACGATAACATTATTAATGGAGAGTAGAGTTTTTCTTAATTTAAAAATACTAACATAAATTTAATTGACATCGACTTGCGTATCCGAATTAAATGTCGCGAGTTTTATCCTCGTTATTTTTGTTGTTAAAATTTTTTCATCACACTAAAATAGTGGAGAAAATTGTCTCAGAGATATCAAATTAGATCATCGCTTCGTTCTTGTCGTTCTCCCAACCCACTTCTCGACTGCGCCACTTGTCTCCGCTCATTCCTTGTGAAACTTTTAGCAGGGGTAGGGTTGCATCTCATTATAGTTGGACGAGTGTACTCGCGCTCCATTTGTCTGGTGGCCGAAGATCGCTATCCGCGTCGCCGATAGCATTTACGGACGATGAAAAGCGGTTGGGCGGGATCGATGACGACGCGTGGCATTGTTTTTGCTCGCGAGAACTGCATGACCGCGACAATGGCTAGCGCACCAAACACCTCCTACACTCTACACAACGTCGTTTCTCTACCACAGATTCCTCTAGCGCGGAAAATAGGCTACGTTCCTTTTGTTTAGGCTCTACTTGTCGCGAATCGAATGTAGTTTCCTCTGCTTCGGACTCATCACAATTCAATCTTAAAACGAAGTCTTACCGTACGTGACGGAATCGACTTTTGTGAGAATTTCTGTAGTAGTGATAAATTCACGTTTGTCCTCTTCTTCATTTTATCTCACTTCATTTCATTTTATAGTTTAAAGTATATTCTTTGTAATTACTTTGTAATGATTTTTTTACTGTAAAAATAATTTTAAGCACTTCTCTTGTATTTTTATCAATTGGTTAAAAAAATTGGAAAACATGACAAAATATATAGTTTATTAATTAATCGATTAGAATCTGAATCGTTGAATTTGAATCGTTTCCAAGTATCTAAAGTATATGTAAGATCAGAAATTTTGACGAATCTATCTGATCACCATTCAACTAAAATGAAGAAGAGTAATACCAAGGTATATCTAAATAAATCGAATTGCTTGCCGTATATTGTAGATTTGCGTGCCAAGGCAATCTCTCACAATGTTCATCAGCTATTAAAGCACCATTTAAATCAGTGTATGTGCATACGAATGAGAAAGATATCATTTCGATACATATCGAGATAAATATTTGATATCTTTAATATTGTATTATCTCTTTAATATCTCAATGATTTGATTTGATGTCATATTAACATGTTACGTTTATTATATATACATGTTATGTATATTATATCGCGATAATAATATATTTTGTTTTATTATCTATATTTTTTTATAATGAAATACCTGAAATATTTTTAATAATTTTATATATAAATATAATACGCACACATATATTTACAAATGCTTCGAGAAAAGTGTGGTTAAAAAAGATATTTGTATGAGAAAAATTGATCTATCAATGCTAATAAATATAAGACGTCGATTAGATATTAATGTCGAAAAAATAACGATTTGAATTTGATGAAAATCCCCCATCGAATGTCCTTCTTAATCTTCGCTGACCGAAAAGAGTCATAAACTCAGTGGAAACTCGCTCGAATGTTTGAACAAACATTTTTCTCCCCAACTGTCGAAGATTCCAGGTCAGCGAACCAAGTTACCTCGAGAATTCGCCCATCTAAGGCACACAAGATCCGCGGATACGATGGATAGAATGATTAAATTTCCCAAAAGTCCTTTTGCCCATACTAACTGATCGAATTGGACAGGCGAACTACGTGGATAAAAACATGATTGTCAGAAAATGCAAGAGCAAGACGTGCATCGTGTATGTATATTCTATCCTATACAAAGAAAGAATGATAGAGAAGAATTTGTTTCTTTTCTGGCCAATAATATGAAAATCCAGGTCATCGATACAGGGAAATCGGTTTTAAAATCTGTCACTATGTACAACAAGAAATTTTGCTGAGTTTTTTGTAATAAAAAACATTTGACAATATCGCGAGGTTCATTACATCTGTTTGCTGACAGAATAATAATTATAATTATTACACTAAAAATATAAAGATTTAGATAAAACTATATAATATCTAATAATATTGAGAACGGATTCTTTTTTTTTTTTTTTTTTAATGGACTATAGATTTAATTTGTTTTGATATAATTATGTAAAAAACCAAACAAAAAGAACATTCTATTAAACGATGCCATAATATGAAAACTATTGGGATTATGACACGGGCAAAACTTAATCTATTTGTAAAAGCAACGGATTATGAAATGACAGACGGTTAATAATCGCTAATTTAATTTCTATTCATATTTGTATTTTCTATACAATTTAATATTCTATTCATACTATTGCATACTATTTACATGTAAGAAAATTTTTTTATAGAAATTTGTTGTCGAGGTTAACGAGATTAGCGATTACATATATATTATAATAAATTTAACAATATATATGTTAGATAAAATCCTTTCCGTTATGAAAATGTTATATACAAACAAATTTAATCTTTTCGTAAAAATATTGACGGCTTCGATAAAAAGTTGTTGCAAAAATGTAACTCACACATTTTAAGAGATTTATTTGCACAATATAATATTCCTTTCAAAGATAAAATTATTATTTTAGTGTCACATTTTTTCGAATTTATTCATGTAATCATGAAACTTTCATTTTTTTCATTGTTAAAACATTACATTTTTTGTATTTCGTCGATCTCAGACAAAAAAAATTAACATTCACTTTGCTCAAAGAAATGACTTATTATATTTTTCATTGTTGCCATCGATATCTTCGAGATTACGTTGAGGCATAAGGCCCGCCTGTAATTGTAACAACAAGCTCTTCACATTATTAACATTAATATACGTATGCTATCTATTAATTTTTCCACATCGAACGTAATTGTCTAAATAGATTCTAAATTTTCAACATTCTTTTTTTATATTATATAAAAATCCCACATATTTAAGTGCAATCGAATTTGTAGCCGCGAATAATTCTCTTCTCCGGTGAATCTAGAAACGAGTTTAGGTCAAGCCAAAGCATTTGTTCCAAAATTTGTCCATCGTGTGATAGAAATGAGGGGACACGTGTTCGAGACCATGCGCCTCATCCGTGTACGTGATCTGTTCGAACAGGATGTCATTATGCTCCAGCGCCTTGGCGAGCGCCATCGCTTGCTGGTAGTGCACGTTGTCGTCTCCAGTACCATGTATTAACATGTATTTTTTGCCTCGTATTCCCTCTACTCGTCGTGTGATATCCGTGCGATTGTAACCGGCGAGATTGTCCTTGGGAGTCGGCAATCCCATGAATCGCTCCGTGTAAATAGAATCTGTAATAAACCGGATTCTAAGAAGACGCATCAATTATGCTCGACGACTAGATCAGAGAAAGATTGTTAAGATTAAGAGTTCAGATTATTTTTCCCCTCATTTATATATTATTTATATTAGAAATGATCAATTTGTCGCTAATTACCGTAATAGATCCACGAAGTTACAGGCGCAACAGATATACCACACTTGAACACAGAGGCTGTATCTGTTGCGAGTACCATGCCAGTAGTAAAACCACCGTAACTCCAGCCCCATATACCAACCCTATTCGCATCGATCCACTTATATTGTTTCAGCAGAGCTCTGAGATATAACAAAGAGAATATTTATAACGGTGTTTGTTGTCAAAAATGAAATAATAGCGCAATTATTAACAATATATAAATTACTCACGCAGTAACAGCGATCGTATCTTCGATCTCCACGGTTCCTATATTCTTGTATATCTCGAAGAGCATCTTGCTGCCCTTGAAGGCTGATCCTCGTGCGTCGATCCACGCATAGATTACGCGTTTGTTAGTTGTTAGATAATACTCATACTCATATTTTGCATTATCAGTGATTCTAACTGTGTTTGGACCGCCGTAACTGCGGAATAAATATATTTTCAAAAGATTATTTTATAAAAATTAGATATTTTATACATATATATTATATATAAGAAGCATAGCTTCCTCGTGATAGATTATGCAGATCATTTTTATCCAACTTTGTCCTACAAATGGGTAGCATAAATTTGTAAGTGAATTAAGCGCTCGACAAATGCTTCTTAAAAAAAGAAGAAAAAATGAGCAAGGTTATTAAAGGTAATTGATCGTTGCGAAAGAGCTTTAACATGAATCGATCCAACAAACACAGACTCGATCAAAGGTGACTCTAATTTTAAATGGAGATTGCGAATCCCTTTGCATGCCGATCAATCATACCATATACCAGTGTAATTGCGCTATAGCCACTATTAACGATATACAATGTATATAGGCAGGCATTGTCTTGATTAAACGCTAATATCGATCTAATTTTTACAAAGACTTTGCTTTTCCCAAGATTTGTTTTTTATAACATTTAAATTTTTCAAAATCTTTATACGAGTCGTCATAAAGATATTTACATTTGAATCAAACATAACGTAAAAAAATATATGCTATAATGTATGATAAAAAATATACATATTTATACAACAATAAAATTAATTTTAATTTATTATTTCCATAATATTGAATAATTTAATTATGTTTAAAAAATTTGATTATATGTTCATATTTTATGCGTGATATAACAGCGACAGTTTTAACGACAAAACTTTTTTGTTTTCTAAATTCTCTCGCGTAAAATTAAAATAATCGTAATTTTGCTTTTAAAAAAGTCAGAAAAATCTGAGTATACTCACGTATTTACTAACAAGGGATATGATTTATTTTCATCGAAATTCGGCGGCAGTAACAATCTGACCCTAGAATCATAGCCGTTTACGGTAATGTTGAAATTTCTTTGTTGCGGCATCAATCGTTGTGACAAAAGTTGTCTTATCAATAGATTAGTTTTCCAAATCAAAATTGGCTGATGATTTCTGTCCATAATTGTTATTGTAGCTGGATCAGGTCCAGAACAGGTGAGAGCGTAATATGATCTGAGCCTTGAAAAAGATGCAGTCGCGTATGTGCATTTATTTCCTGCAACATTTAAATTGTTAGAATTTTTACAGGAACAATTATAGATATCTACGAAAAATTATATTTTCTCGTTTTCTGTTCGACGTAATGAAGCATTTGCGAATGCCGTCTCGATTATTTTCACTTTGGCATTCTCGTGTTTGACAACTTTTGCTTTAATTTTCGGATAAGTATATATTAGTAATATCCATGTACACACACATACACACACACACACAAATAATAATATAAGATAATATAATGTAGGTAATATCACGCGCGCGTAAACTAATATAAAACGTGCATACAATTTTGTTTACTTGATATGGCACGAACTCTATGAAAGGAAAACGGGAGACATACATTTCTGCATTTTCTATACTTTTCACTACTAGTCACAATAAATTTCGATAAATAAAACATATTTTAATAGATGTAATAATAATAATATTTTAATGGATGTATAGCCGATATTTTGACCGAGCGTATCAGACTCATGGGCGTAGATTTTTTGGCCCGAATAATCCGGCGAATTAATCTTCTTTGCGATAACGTAGAAGAACGCAGCTGCCGTCAATAGCCGTAAAAACTTGTACGAAAAGTAATATTTCAGTCTCGCGTTTCATGCGACGTCTTGCGCATTAGGTCGAAATCTTTCGAATCTTCTCGCATAGCAATGAGGAGATAAGTTCGGGCCAAGTTCATACGAGAAAATTTAAAAATTCTAATTTGAATTTGCAGAATTGACTTTCCACGCGCTGTAAAAATGTGAAAAGATAATTGCGGCAATTTTCAAAAGGAACGTAGGTCCTAAATTACGTCGTCGTCACCACTCTCATTTGAAAGTTTTGCGTAAATCTTCCCGACACTATACATTCATGCGCATATATGTTAAATATTCATGAACACGACTTACAGCTTTCGTCAAATGAGTCATTACTCCCGATGGACTTTTGCGTTTTAATTGGAACATGTACCTATCATGTGTCTATAGATAAGTTACACAAATGCTGCCGACAATGCGTTTCAAAATTCTCCATCACCTATGAGATTTGCTTAAACATTTCCCAGTTTCGTTTAAGAATCGGACGCAAATTTAAATAAAATGAACGATCGGATTAAAATTTACAAAGTTTTTGTATTTTCCTCGCATACATATGCAGAAAATATTTTTTCACGCGAGATGCTATGCTTTAAATAAAATATTCCGATATTACTAAACGTTCTCGATAAAGTTACCACATTCGCGTATGGTGCAAGCTCGTCACATTAAACTGATGAAAAAAGTGATAGACATCGCATTTCTCCCCTTTTCCTCTCTCTCTCTTTCTTCCTCCAATCGTATCTGCGACATTCGTGATTTTGAGTACTCACCTTCCGGCGTAAGCAGCTCGCAGGATATGCAAGTTGGTTTTTGGCTCGCATCCAGAGGCACCGTATACAAATTCCTCTGGGTCGGTTCACCCGGTGCCGTAGCGAGGTAGTAAACTTTGCCTCTAAGCGAATCGACGGCCAAAATGGAATGCACCTCAGAGGGACCAGGCGTTAGATCTACCGATGAAACGAATCGGCCACTTTCGTATTCATATCTGACGATGTAATGTAAATGTTAGATTACGAGGGAAAAATAAATAATGAAAAAATTTTTGATACATATTTTTGACTCAATAATTTTAAATTTTCCCTAGATACCGAGATGCATTGAAAAATTTAACTTTTTCAATGCAATTTTTTCAACGCTAAAGTAATAAATGCTGACGCGAAATATTTTGAAAACATTATAGTTTTTATAGATCCATGGAGATGTATCTGTCCAAATTGTTTGGCTTTACCTGTCTATATGTCGAAATTTACCAGCGTTAGTGCCAGAATCCTTCAATCGTAAGAGTAACGCATAATCACCGGCTCTTATGGGGCGATTTGGCTGAAGCCAGCCCTCGATCTGCTCGTCGTACAAAATCGGTTTACTAGTACCCTGCGTATCGTACATGATCAATTGAGATTGATTTTGCACGCGGTTTGTCCATGTCACGATCACATGTGTTATGTCCCACCAACTTGCAGTGAACAAAATATTATCGCTGCGAAAGAAATTCAAGTAGAAATATATTAATATATAATCAATCTCTTATCAAGCAATATATGATTAATCTCTATTTAAAGACATTATTAATATTAAAATTACTATAAACTTGCCTGCCAACCACATCAACGGGCGCTTCCAAAATGATTGCTTTTGACGATGGATCATTTAAATCGATTACTGACAAAAAAACTGCTGGATTAGGTGTACCTACCTGAAAATTTATAGCTGAGAGATAATTGAATAATACTTTGAATATACATAGATTTAGAAATTCCCTCTCTTCTTTCTGTCTCTCTCTCTCTCTCTTTTGAAATAAAATTTTACCTTGGGATATTTTAGCTTTACTTGAGTAGGATATTGGTTTTCAAAAGCACCAGGTACGCCGTAATAAAAGTATGCCATGTCTTTTACTACAGTATCGTTAAAGGTTGCAAAGGCTAGATGCTGTCCATCCGGCGAATACCACATTGCGACTGCTGATCTAAATACTTCCTCTGCAATTAACATTTACAATTACCTATGTCATTTATAATTATCTAATAGAGACGCGCATTTACTTTGCGATGCATAATCCTCTTTGGAACAAACACTATTTGCATAAAGTATATTTATATTTATTATATACATGTATATTTATATATACATAAATATTTTTTTATATATTTATTTTTATTAAGATGATTACCTTCATATACCCAATCAGGAATTCCATTGTAAAGGACACCGGGTTTACCGCTTTCCGTCAATCTACGAACTATAGTCTGGCCGTGATTAAAAATCATGTGATAGATATCGTTATCATGAACGTAAACCAAATCATTGCCGATCGGCGACCATAACGCCAATACAATAGGAGTCTCATTCGCGATTTTTTCATATGTACTGCAAATGTATAGAAAACTTTGTTAAACATATTTTATCGCAATAGATAATGAGCCAATTAAAGATAGAAAGTAGCTGTAAGTATATAAAAATTTATATTATCTTAGCGTATAAATATCTGTATTATCCTAAGTATTATAATTGCTAAGATAATGATAAGATAAAATGTCAGATCTTTTGATCCACTTTAGTGACACACTTCAATTAAAAAAATATGCATTCAATGTTCTATTCATTTAAGACACATTCTATATAAATATACTATATATATATATATACCACAAAGGGAAAGTTCATTAAAATTCTCAGAAACTCTGATAATAAGCGAGAGATATTTAAAAGAGAAACCGCGACCCCCCCCCCCCCTCCTTTCCCTCAACGAAAATTCAGATTTTGATAAACCTATTTATTATAAAGACTAGGCATGATTAAGTTGACTTTATCTAAAATCTATGCATCTATCCGTTTTACTTTTTTATTTAGAAATATAAAATTTAGAAATTTGTCACAGACCTCGCATTGTTTCGCAATCAATTTGTTAATATTAATTGTTAATATCACCGGCGGTATAAATATAATAAATATGTCATAAAAATATGAACGAATAGATTTACCTGCGATTTACGTCGTATACTACATAGTTTCTAACGGTCGTGTGTCTGAATACCTGCGCAAATTATTTATCTTAGATCTATTCATATTTAGCAAGCGAAAAAATATTAAATAATTAATCACTTACTTGTTTAACATTGTAACCAAACAGTATGTATTGTTTGTCAGCCGAGAATGTTGCCGAGCTGAATTTGTATGGCAGCTAAAACAGTTTTAACATCGAATTTTATTAAAAGCATATAAATTGTAATAAACTGTTTGTTTAAAGTATCGAAAAAATGAAATATCAACTACAGATTGAAGTCTTTCCGAGATTAAATTACATGATGGATTATAAAATATACTTACGGGTAATTTTGATCCATCAAAAATCCGTTCATTCTTCCTTGTTACTACGTCATAAACAGTAATATTGCTCTTACTAATGTCTGTAACCATAATTTCTGTATCGGAGATCCACGTGCCATTGAAGCCGAAGATATAGTAATATTGAAGATAAATCTCCTCCAGAGTGAATGGTTTCTTGGTGATTTGATTATCATTGTTAATGCGAATATTGGTGCCATTAACATGTGAAACTAAACATATACGTTTAACACAAAAAATCTTAATGGCATATGATTAATATAATTAAAATTTATTGAAATTCTCAATATCTTTATCATTGATAATCAAAAATTTTTGTATATTTGTCAAATATTAGTTAGAATAAATTAATTACACAAAATATATTATATATTACATAAATCGACCTACTTGTCCGTGATTGGCCAATGAGCAGATAATTGCACAATATAAGAAGTCGGAGAATCTAAAAGAATTTTAAATTGTGTGTCAAGGATATAATGTTATTAAAACTCTCATAATACTTTCGCGTGGATATCAGTTTTCTATTATGATTACGTTCATACGACTAGATTCAAAAATTTAAATAAAAGAGAAAAGAGTAATATACACACACACAAAAGATTTCAAAAATAATTTATAGCTTGATGATAAGGGGAAAAAGTAGGATGATGAAAAGAAAGATGAAAGTAAATTAAACGGTCGCTATATCGAACTTTTGAGTATTGAATACAAAAATCACCTTGATAATGTTTAGACTAGAAATCAACAAATAGAATGAAATTACTGTTATCGCGTAAACTTTCAATTGCCTTTATGTATACCTTTACTCTCGCGAATTCTTAACTTTGGTTTGCTGTAATCAAGAAAACTTTTACGCTATAGGTTATTAATGTGTATATCTTTTCCATAAAAATTACTTTTATGAAAGACCGGAAGAAAAAAAAGATAGAAGAAGGAGGGAGGAGAAAAATTATTTTCTGCTTTAATCTTTTAAAGTTCTAAAATTGAAACTTGAACTGTGAATAAAAAATACCAACCAATCTTTTTAATATTGAAAAGGATAATCTAGCAAGCTACCCTTCTTTTTTATGTTAAAAAACAAACTATCCATATTATTAATTAATTTGAGATTGGCAATTTTCTTTCTTTTGCAATTACCAATTAGCCTTATTTAAAAAAAGGGGGTAACGGAAGAAATTTACTTAATTAATAAAATTAAAGTCAGTTAATATTGATGTAACAAATCCAATGAAATTAATCATAATTTATATCGGAAGAATAAATCTAAAAATAACTTAATGTTACGATAAGTTAATACTTTGAACGTATTATCGTATACTTTCTTAGGTGAAAATGAGGGATGGGGAAGAGCTTAGACGGAAGACGATAAATCGAGACAGTTCGAACCCTCGAAACTTTTCCATCCGCGGCTTACATCTGACGAAAAGTGCTCTTACGAACTTATCGATATGTCGAGATACCTTGTGCCTGTCCCATGAACAAAATCGAAACAGAAGTAAGTTGAATAAAAGCCACATGAAAGATTGCAAAAATTCTGGTAAATCGATATTTATTTTTTTGGTTACTCCTCTTAAGCGCATCATGAGAATGAATTCATTAATTAAATTCGTTGAAAATTTCAAAAAAGATATAATACTTATCTCTGATTTATTCATTTATACATAATTGCATGTCTCAAATACTTTACAAGCTATCGTTTTTCCCATTAGTTGATAATTTATTTGAAAGACTAAACTTTGAATTTGTTTAGCAATAGCTTGTAATTAACATTCTGATAATTTGTCAACTTTTCGAAATTCAATTTGACAAATGTCATCATTAAATACTGTAGATATTTAAATATATGTAAATTTCTCTATCTAACAATTATCGCAAAATAAAAGAAACAAATCCATGTTGTTGAGAATCGAAAAACCAATAAACCGCGAGCTTGGTATGCCATTAGACAACGTACCGTATATTTTTCCATGACGATCATCAGCTGATTTATTAATCGCAGAGTCTGGATGACGATTGAAAAATCCGCTGCTGACGCGTCGACCGATCTCGCGAGTCCAACAGAGACTAATATATCCTATGCTTTCTCGACGTGTTCGCAGCAATAGCACGTGCTCCCACCTCTTTCAACAAATCAGAGACACCAGTGTGTAAGCGCCTATGTTTCTTTTGTCGTGTTTATAATTAACTCTTTCCGCTTTTTAATAATTTGCTGCAGTATTTTACTGATGCCGATAAAATATCTCTTTCTACGTAAAATCAAATCAATTCGTATAAAAAAAAAAAAGAGAAAACGAATAGATATCATATCAAGCTTTTAATCAAGTTTTGTATACATATTTATATGCGATAAATATTATACTATAATTATACTAAATATTATACGTAAATTATGTATATATAATAAATATACACACGATTACATATTTTTCTTTCTTAAACATCAGAAATTGAGGACATTGTTACACAATGATAATTATACCATAAAATTGCAAAAGTCTTGAAAGAAACCAAAAACAACGAGTAACAAAACAGCGTGCTGTATTAAACGCCAACTGATAGTTGCTGTTATCAAGGCTGCCTGTTATTATTTAACTACATATGCGATAATAATTATCTATATATTCTCGTGAAATAAAAAACTAAAATTCTGTGCTATTTAGCTAGCATAATATTGAATGTGTTTGCCAATAAAATAGATTAAAAATCAATCAATTTTATCGATAGAGATTGTTTTTGTTAGAGTTTAATTGTTGGAAGAAATTAAATTGATCGAAATAAACTCATCGAACAAGTTATTATTTGAATAATTACGGTAAATTAATCATATCGAATAAATTATATACTATTTTTTCGTGTAATTCGATGAATGAAAATGATTAAAACATTTCTTGTGATTGCAAATATACTTTTTCATGTATATTTGTAAAGCATTCAAAACTCTGTTATCAGCAATAACGTACGAGTAAAATTTTTTTTACGATTTTTGCTTGTCATGAAATATATCATTTCAAATATGTATTATATGGCACTCGCACGTATACATCATTTTAATATTATGACATCAAAACATATAAACGCACTAATGTTCAATCAAACTCGATTCTTTTTTAATCTTTTTACATAAAACTTTTACAATAAAGATGTCGAGCTATTTTTTGCTTCTGGGTATTACTATTGAAAAAATAATTCGTGAGCAATAATATCAGCTGGAGTAAAATTCAAACCTTTTTAATTTTCATATTTACTTTCCACTTTCACAGTTCTGTGTGTTTCAATTACTTAAAAAAATTTATTATTATGAATATAGCCCTTAAAACACAGATTTCACTTTACATTTTTCAGAAATTTTAGTTGTCATATTTTCACGTTTACAAATATTTACATCAACACGTCAAAAATATACTTTTCGCTACAATAAAAGTCATTTCGAGAAACATGATCACTACGATCGCAACTGGTATGGAATTCAGCGGGTCAATGCCATAGCTATCGAGAAAAAGAACCATCCCCAACCTTCCTACTGATGCTACCAGCCATCATTTCATGGCATCGCGAGTGACACACTTTATGAGAGGAAACATTGCTGTCATCAGCGTTATCACCGCGTCCGTCTTCGTCGCAGTCATTTTGCACGTGGATCATTATCGAATCCCTAGCTCACGACAATCAGTCAATCTGATTCGGTTATAAGGTCGCTCGCACTCTCCATCGTTGGCGACTACATGAAAAATTGAAAAATTGCAATACCATGAATATACATGAAATGAAATGACAAGCGAGAATAAAAACAGATTTCTAGACATACATAGACTACTTGTCGTTCCAAAAAATTTAAAATAACATTTTCTTTTGCTGTTGTCTTATTGCCGTTCAAAATTATGAAATGCAAAATGTATTTTTGACGGCGAAATATATTTTCAAAAGAGAAAATACGTGTAAAATCATATTCAATTTCTCCATAAAATCTACACATTTTTATTTCTGTATTTTTTTCTACATGCTTTAATTTTACTCTGAAATCTTGCACAAATTAATACAAGAAGCAAATAAACATCTTAGAAAGCCATTGCGGTAATAATTTTAATCTGGGACATTATCTTTTTCAATGACTATAGTTTTCCTTATCGGAAGTCTGACTTTTTCATGGATATCTTAATCTGCACTTTTTCATTTTAATAACATTTTCCACTTTTAGACATGTAGGGAAGCACTGTATTATTTTTTAATAATGGCAACGTTTTTGGAAGGAATTTTTTTTTTTTTTTAGAAATACGGAATCATAAGAAACAGTAATACTGCAGTAAATTGAAGCTATTCGCCATCTCGTCTTAATGACACGAAATACAGAAACGATGCAACTTGAGTTACCTACCGGTAAGCCTTGCATTTGCTTTAACATGCCTACCAGATGCTAACGTCGGAATTTTCTTTGGTCTACGTTACTTGCTAGTAGATGGCTCTTAAAATATAGTAACAAGTATAAAAGAGATTCCGATATCTCCGTTTATAGACTATACGTACTATAATAGCATTATTCTATATTATTACATCGTTAAAATGATGTATAAAAAAAAAAACGTGCGTCAAATTCAAAATTTCTTAATTTAAATATAATTTAATCACAATTTTTGTATGATATTTTTCAAGTAAAAAAGGGAGTGAAACTAATTAAATACAGCACTTGTAGAGTCAGATCAATGCTTTTATTCAATAAAAGAATTAGTCTAAGATATTAGAGCATCAGATAAAAAACGACAGTAATATAGAACGTATATTAATTTGAAGCAAAATCACATTTCATTTGTATTTCGATTCAGAGAGCCCTCAAACATTAATGAAAATGATATTCTGTAAATTTGGAGAACGGTAGCAGGATAACAGCAAAAGAAAGTGTGCTATTTCAAATTTTTTTCGGAACGACATTTCCTTGCGTTAGTTCTTCTTCGCGCAGTGCCGCGAAAAATATTTCCGACCCTTTTATGGTGGCGTTTACTATCGATCGAGGGGGATATAACGTGTAACAGTCGCGTTGCCACGAGTCGAGAAATTGCCCCAAAGAGAAAGAGAGAAAGAAAGAGAGATAGATAGGGTGCACAAAGGCCACCCCCTTCGAACCGACGACTATAAGTACCGGTCGCGGTTGGTTCGTGCGACTCACGAGCGTCCTGTGATCTTGACGGCATGTGGTTATCGTTTTCGCATTCGGGTAAAAACTACTTGGCGCCGAAGTCGTTTCGATCTATGAATCTATGAATAGATCGTGATTCGCCGAACGGCGGTTCATTTCCATCGCGCAATAGCCGCGATCATCGTCCGATCGGAAAGCATCGATTCACCGGGGAAAAGCCAACGACATTCGCACGTGGAATCTTGGACAGAATAGCGAACATGACAATCTCATGGAATCGAAGAGTTTACGACGAATCTTCATAATGGCTGGATTACAAGTGAAGGACCTGAGTGATCGACCGGGATAGACGTAATGTCGCTCGGGATTAATTCAGAAAGTCAACCGAGATGATGCGGAATAAATCAAAGGGAAACGTCATTGACGACGTTTGTGGTTGCTCCGCTCTTTCGTCGATCATTCAGAGAAAAAACTTGAATTCCACTTCAGGTAAGATTATCCTTACAATTAGATGTATCTACGTACTCTTTTCGTTTTTTTTTTTTTTTTTTTAAATTAAATTTAAGTTGATTGATAAGTCACTTATTACGAAATATACGTTGGATTGGAGGAAAAAAACCATAATTGGTTTTCATGTTGCATGTATTGTGCTGAATGCTGATTGTAAGATTTACGTAAAATCTCACGAACAATCTCCGCTCAATGCTTCTTTTATATATATACATATCAAACATTATATAGAACTGTTTTTCCAATTATGAATGATTAAAATAACAATTTGATTAAAATCATATCGTACATTCAACGAAGGAACATAAAATACTGAAAATATATCACCTGCGTTTATTTAATTCATTTGAAATGGACATCAATGTCGGCAAGCTGTTCAAAGTTTGTCTACGGTGCGATTCGATCGATCGCCACGCACATGTTTTCCAGACGACGAGAACCTTGAGCGATCGATGACGCTCGGTGTGCAACCTTGAACGAGAAAAGCGAACAGTGATTATGATTTCCTTCCTGTTCGTAACGGAAAAGCTTCTTTAGGTCAATACGATTGAAATATTTCCGGTAATCGTCGACGTCTTGTATCTAGATGTCAGATCCTACTTTTATCGGTATTATATATTTCTCAGTTTCTCCTTCTCGTTTTGTCTCTTTTTTTATTTCTCTTCTTTAAATCGCGTCATTTGCCTTGCCATGGCGTTTTTCATCTTCTCAAGAATCATTTTCTTTATTTTTTTTTTTTTTTTTTTGATAATAGGGATCACTATGTTGATTTTTCTTTGTGTGTGAGCATCCGATCTTCAACATTTCAATATAATTTAATAGAGTTCTGTTTCTTTTTCCGAAGAGTTATAGAGTTTCTAATACATGCAAAAAATATTTCTGATAATTAAATGTAGAAAATAGGGAGCCAAAGAGCCAAAACAGTCTGACTGAACACGTCAAACAACCGTAGCGCACCGATTCATTCCTCTTATTTTTTCCTCTTCTTTCTCATTCTACATGCTGTATATCCCCTCCATAGATCCACCACAACTACCAGCTGGTTTGTTTCTGGATCATCTCCGACCCTTCGTAAAAGCTAGCTTTGAATCTCTGAAGACAGTCGACAGCCAACAGCGCTTACGAATCTTGGAGGCTTCCTCCGATCTCGCGCGTTTGTCTTTCATTTTTTATTATTGCAGTTTTTTTCATCCATATTTATTCTATCAATTTTTTATCGCATCTCGTTATTTTATTTCAAGATTAATTAATAATTTCTTCAAACAATGATTGCATATATTATTCGAGAAAAATTTCGAGCAAGTAGCATGAATTATGTGACGACGAAATCGTGTGAACGAGCGACGTTGAGTTTGTCTTATTGTTAAGTTGCCCCACTATCTCGGTGTCGTACCGCTCGCAATCCCCTCGTCTGGACCGAGTCTCTCGGGCCTTGGCAGGTGTAAGACAGTGTTTCCATTCACCGCAAAGTAATAGCGAAGAGAGCCACGACGGAAAATATTTTTCTTTCGCGAACTGCATTAAATGTTGAATTAATGCTATAATTGTCGCATCAATGATAAAATAGTGATAACAGGCTCATTATTAATGATAACAAAAGGTTCTTTAATCTCATGAATTTCAAGAAGAGAGTGTGTGTATGTTTTCCGTCTTAGAAATATTAAAAACGTGAAATAATATTTCAAACTTAAAATGATGACAACTTTACAAAAGTATGAAAAAAAATGTGATAGAGGAAATATGTGAAATAATATGTGTGTGAATGTGATAATGTGAACTTCGATATTGAACTTGCAATAAAGTTTCGTCAAAATCGAAAAAAGTTATCAGATATAGTTTTGTATTCGGGGCATACAAAGCTGAATGTTGTTATCATGGTTTTCTTCGGAAGAAAGGAAAAGCTGGAGGATCGGCGATTACTGGCCAGCATAGATGCGATGAATGGCGCGATTACCAATCAAATCGACAACGGTAAAATTTTCATTATTGTATGAAACAAAACATTTGCCATACAGCATCCCCGCAAATAATCTGTGAAAGATTTTATAATATAATAGAAATGGTTTCTCTCTCCGACAGAATTGTCGTCACGCTTCTCCGAGATTAAAGAGAAATGTTTTGTTATTCTACCCACACACATACGAATATATGTTTTTGATAGCAAAGCGTATTTTCTCGAACATCCGGTACGAATGAATTCAAATATTATCGCCAGTCGCATATTTTTAATTTCCCTCGTTTGCTTTTCCCGTGGTTTTAATATTAATTATATGGCATAACGATTACACCTTTCAGTTGACAACTTGCAATTGTCGTGTTTCCTGCCTGCTCGTGTATATAATTCATCAATACATCGCAATAATAATGCATTTCAAGATTGCATTCAGTGAGCTAATCAAATTGATAAAAAACAACTATGTATTACGAATTGATAATATTATATTGATGCTCGAAAACAATACAATAAGATAAAAACAAATTTGTGAAATTGTAATGTATATTTTAATTAGATGACATTTTCGTTGATATTTTTTTATATCTATACAATATACGGTTATATTATTGTATATAATATATATGTTTGTAATACATATATACGTTACATGTTATCACATTTTTTAGATTGAAATTCAATGTAGCTAATGCTAAAAAACATTCGTAAAAAATATATTTATTTAAAGCGTGAAAACCGGCAGCATATTCCGTATACATCGTACTTTTTGTGTTCCCATCCATGCTTCAATGCCTTGTAATGGCATGCATTTATCATTCATGTATAGTTGGCATAGGTTATTATTACATAGTCAAGTGACTTTTCATCGAGGACTCAAGTTTCAAGCATGTGTCGGAGCATAATCGCGATCAATAACTCGTACAAAGCACATCATTTAAATCTAAAAGTTGCATTTTCACAACGGGAAATCATCAAGGAACATATTTTTATATATATTTCTACTCTATTCTTTCTCTTCACAACGGTAAATTATGTGTAATATAAAGAATATTTTACAAAATTGAAAATATCATAATAATATTATAATTGTATATATTATATAAT